GAGAAGCGTGCACCTCATGTTTTACTTGGTCCCAAATGTTACTTTCTAGCACATAATTCCAATCATCAGGGAACAATTTGAAGCAAAGAAGAGCCCCAAGTTCTATCACAACTAATGGTAATCCATCACACTTTTTCACAATCTTCCTGCCAATTTCTTCTAGATAGGATCGTTGTGGGTTCTCACGTACTCCAAATGCACATCTAGAAAGTAAAGACCAACAATCTTCACTTCCCAAAGGTCTTAAGTAGTGAACAAAAAGAAAGGTTTGCATGGATCTTGCAACTCTTTCATCCCGCGTTGTGATGATGATCCTACTGTCGGTTTCCACAGCATTAAAGATGTCCATGAAATATATCCAATCAACCGATTTTGTATCCCACACATCATCCAGTACTAGTAAAAACTTTGAAGTGCTTAAAATTTGCTTCACTAATACAAATAGAAGATTCGGGTAATAGGTAGTCATCCCACTAGTGTAACTTCCTCTTGTATTGTCAGATTCAACAGTTTGAAAATTCAAGTTATCACTACTGATTGATTGCGAAGTGATAGACTCAAGAATGGTTTTAAAAACTCTATGAACATCAAAATCTTTCGAGATATATACCCACACTTTAAACTCAAATTTCTCCTTAACTTGATAATCATTGTAAAGGAGTTTAGCAAGGGCTGTTTTCCCAATCCCTCCCATACCAACAATGGAAATCACACTTATTTTACCATCACCGTCACTACTAGACAGCAAAAGATGTTTAACTTTTTGTTTATCAGTTTCTCGTCCATAAATAGAAGATTCATCCCGCAAAATAGACCTTGCAGGAGTTCCATGGTAAGCATTACTGCAATCGGAAAACCCCGATCCAGGTTGTTGTTGTCTCAAAATCAAGTATTCTAACCTTAGACTTAATCGTTGCATTTCATAGTTGATGACTTCATGAAACTGTTTGAAACTGGAAGGGAAAAAGTTACGCACCTTAGTAGAAGGAGTTAGGGTTTCAGACTCGGTGTTGATTTGCTGAAACAGAGTGTGAAGTTCAAAGACGACATATCTGACCATATCCAACCATTCGTTGAAAGTAGGATCGCTGATTTGTTTCTCCTCATCATGATGATGAACAAGTGCAGATTGAAGATTGAACAGTGTCGTCTTCAGGTTTATCAAGACTGAATCGTCAAGCTTGGTACTCTGGTAGTAATCGATGAATTCAGGAGAAAAGAGCTTTTCTAACAGCACTTTCACAGAAGCTGACATGAGTTTTTCTTCAACAATATTCGCCATTGTTACTTGCTTTGTTTGTAAGAACAAGAAGAAGAATTTCACACAAGTTAAAAGGAAATGTTATTTTAGTAAGTCTCCATTTACAAGTGGTTGAAAAGAAGAAAAAACACTGAACGATTGGGTGGAAAATCTTTTTATGTAAACCACTACTTTAAAAAGTTATATGAAAATTGGTTTTTAATTTTTCTCAAAATTGAATATACCAATTCTTATTCTTAACAATCTTGTTATTATATTTTAGGTTTAATTGTAATTTTAGTTCAAATATTTTTATTTTTTTTATTTTGATCCTGTATTTTAAAATTTAGAATTTTAATTCCCCTAATTTTATTTTTTAAAATTTTTTATCCTCCTATTTTAAAAGCGGGAATATTAGTCTTTTTTTTTTTTTTATCATCTATTTCAAATTTTATTTTAGATTTTAGTCTCTTTTTTAATTTTGAATTTTAAAATAGAGAGAGTAAGAGTAAAAAAAAATACTGGGACAAATTTTTTAAATTTTAAGCTAGAAGGACCAAAAGTTTAAAAAAATGAAAAATGAGATACCCAAATTTCAAATTTTAAAATAGGGAGACCAAAATTTTTTTTTTAAAAACAAAGGAGGAGCAAAATTACAATTAAACCATTTTTTTAAATAAACTCTTTTTTCCTTCTTTCATATATCAATTCTTTTTAATTATAAATTCTTTAATTATTCATAAAATTTATGTTAGAAGTTGTGATTTGATGTTCTGTCGGAAGCTAGCATTCGACTATGTCGAAGTAGCTAGTTAAAGTATACGAGTCAAATGTATTCAGCATATAGTTATTGTGTCAAAGTGTAACTTGTAAGTTTGTATTTTACACTTTGTATGTTTTAGGTTTGGACTATGTCGAAGTAGCTTCCTTCTTCATGCATCATGAACATGTTTGTAGCAAATAAAGTTAAACACTTTCAGATGTTCCACCGACGGTCGTTTGCCACTTCACACTTCCTCAAGAACCTTGTTCTTCAACTTCTTCGTAGGGCACCTGTTTAGAACATAAGCAGCAGTCGCGACAGCTTCACCCCATAAGAATTTTGGCAAATTCTTCTGCTTCAGCATGCATCTCGTCATATCCAATATAGTCTTGTTTCTTCTTTCTGCTATTCCAAGCTCTGCACATAACTTTTCAAATATCTTGGACGTGTATTTGCCACCTCCATCTATTTGCTGAACTTTGATCTTCTTTTCACTCTGGTTTTCGACATGCATCTTGAATCTCTTAAAGATTTGAAATACTTCGTCTTTGCAATTGATCACATAGATCCAAAGAATTCGATTATACTCATCAACAAATGTGACAAAATACCTGTTTCCGTCAATGGTATGATCTTCAAACGTGACACATACATCTGAATGTACTACTTCCAGTATGCAAGAGGATCTCACTGGCATAGTTGAAACAACATACTTTCTGAATTGCTTTCATACTAAGTACCTTCACAAAGCTCAGGGATGTCATTGCTGACCACTTATAGGGTTTCATCAAAACCGAATAAAGACTTCATCTACTTATCCCATCGATTCCAATTTTTACCGTCAAGAATTGAAAGAGTATTCGTAATGTCATTGGTATCATTCATATCTACATTAACTGCAATTTACGATCCTTAAAAACATGACCACCAACGTGAAATTTTTTAAAACACGATTAAGAATACGAACCAGAAGCTCTAGATACCAATTTGTTAATGCGTGAGACAATTTGAATGAGAAGAAATGAGAGAGAAAATGAAAAGTGATTAATGAATTGTTATTATTGAAAAGCTCTATAACTAAATTACAATTATGTGTATATATTAGAGGTGACAATTGGATCCATTAAGGAAAAATCCATCAAATTCATCCATCAAAAAATTCATCTAATTCATCCACCACATAAAAAAATAAGTTAATAGATTGGATTAAATACAATCAGAAATTTTCCAAAAAAAATCAGAATTTTTCCAAAAAAAATCGAATTTTTTTTCTGAAAAACAAATTTGTTTTTTTTTTTTCCGGAAAAAATTGGTTTTTTTTCTAAAATAAAAAACTGATTTGTTTTTCAAAAAAACAAAATTAATTCTTTTTTGAAAAAAAAAATCGATTTTTTCCGAAAAAAACCGATTTTAAAAAAAAGAAAACGTTTTTTTTCGGAAAAAAACAGTTTTTTCAGAAACAAAAACCAATTTTATTTTTATAAAAAAGCAAATTTTTTTTCCAAAAAAAATTGATTTTTTTTTGGAAAAAAATAAATATATTTCAAAAATTAAAATATCAAATTTTTTTTTGAAAATACAAAAAGTGATTTTTTTTAACAAAAAATTCAATTTTTTTTTATAAATATATTAAAAAACAATTTTTTTAAAAATAAAAAAAATGAATATTTTGAAAATAAAATAAAAACAAATACGTTTATTTTTTCGAAATAAAATAAAATTGGATGGATATTCATCCATTAAAAATATGTTAATAGATAGATTAGATGAATTTTATTGTTAATGGATGGATTGTATTTGATAATTTTAAGAAAATGTTGGTGGATTGTTAATGGACTAATGAATTTTTTTAATCCATCCATTAACAATTCAGTCCATATCTATCAAATTCATCTATTTTACCACCACTAGTACATATACAACTACGTTACTTATATATTTATATATTAAGTAATTAACAAAACAAACTCTAACTCTAAATAACTTGAACTTAAACTACAATTTAAATTATATCACAATAGAATTCAATGAGATGATAATACTCCTCGGTCTCAAGCTATTTTCTTGTAATGAACTCAAGCTTACAAATAGAATAAGCTCGTGCACCTATTCTGATCATACAATACTATTACCATACTATTACCATGCAGATGATGAATCAGAGAAGTTTACTGACAAAAACAATGAAAAAAATTGGGTTAACACGTTGATTATAGTTACTACTTTTCGTTCCTGTATTAACAAGTTTAATTGGATATATATTATTTGTAGAAACCTAGAGAGCAAAACCATAATACCTAAAAGACCAAATTTTCAAAATAGTAGGAATCTTTTTCCCTCTCAATTTGAATAAGTCAATTCCTCAAGCTTTTAGTTTAACTTCAAATTCACCAAAATCATCATTTGAATGTGCCATAACATTCTAACATATAGACATTGTAAAAATGGACATGGCCAGAACAGAGAAGATATGTTTTCGGCTATTGCTCCATGTATGACATAATGATGTAAAGAAATTTTCATATATCCTATTCAAACAATCATTATAGATGCCATTATGTATTCAACTTTTTATATTAAGGGCATTGTGCATCTGATATCTAAATTGAGTACAAAAGGTATAAACCAAACTCTACACTACTATCTACATCACTAATGTCACGTCAGTACTCATTAGACAGCATAATAACCATCAAATGTTAAGCTATTTGGTCATCCTCATAAACAACAGTATCGCATCAATAAATCAGAACTCAGGTTACTAGTTCTGTTGAGGTGAAGGAAAACATAATACGAAGGAACAAGTGGCAACATTAATGGTATAGTATCCACTGGAATTGACAATGTGAACTTGCTAGTCACCCAAGTCGAGTGCATACCATTTCAAATCACTTCACCATGTAGGGCCAATTTTTTTCTCTGAACTAGCTGCAGAACCAAAAGCTGCTGCGGACAAATAAGGTGCATAGTTTCGCATGTTGTGGTCAGTATTGATGATCAGATATTACTGCAACTGACAGCACCGTGCCACAATATTGCTGATGTTGTTGAGAATTCCTGCACATTGTTGGAGCAGACAAAAAATCAAATATGATTATCATTTGACTACTGGATTTTAAGAAAACATGCTAGTGCAAAATCTCAGGCAAACTACATGATATGGATAACATTGACATATAAACCAGTGATAATTGTTGCCTATTCTAAATATATATTTATTCTAGAGCACTCCACTATTGTTCTAAGGTAGTCAGTTGTACATGTCAGTGAAATCTACACTGTTAGACTTCATGGTTGCAACTAACATGTATCTAGAAATCAATTTGCAGCCTTCCTTATGTTCTAATGAGAAGGGCCTTCAAATAAAAAACTCCACGAAGATATTTGGACAGTATCCCTCAAGATTCAAGGCCTATAAACATTATCATTAAGTGTTATGATTCACTCTGTTAAAAGTTTATTTGCAAACAAATCATTAAACAACTATTTCCCGAACTACATGTATAGAAAAATAATTGTATTTTAGGCCACTGATCATGTGAAAATAACAACTATGGTATTGTAGGCTGTAGCAACAATTTAGTTTCTGAAACAGGTCTAGTTTCAAATATGTCATGAAGATCACTATGGTGTACAGAGTTACATCAATGTTGCTTACAAAAAAAAAAAAAAAAAAAGAGGAAGAAGTCAGATTTCAGATGAAAGTAGCTCAAATAAAAACATGCAACTACGCTCATGAGTCATGAAGAGCTATATTTCAAACAGCACCTTCACATAAAAGCTGGAAAAAGTGTTTCTGGCACAAAAGTCACCCGAGGTTTGCTTAGTTTGAATGAATAGGAATAGCTTTAGAAATTGCAACAAATTGCAGCCTGTAAGAAAATACTGCTCCTTTTCAATTTTTATGAGCATGGTTACTCTCTACTGCATCTAGTGCTCTGCGACAACACAGTTTCCGCGAAATCAATATGACAGATAATTGCTGCGTAACATAGCTACTTCAACAATCATCTCTTTTTCTGAATCCTGTAATAAAACCAGGAGATGGGAATAAATTATAGTCGCACAGAAAAGTAAAGATAAATGAGTAATGTTAAAGGCTATCAAAGAGGAAATTTATACCTGAGATGCAACTGCTTCCATCTAGGTTCCAGCCACACAATCACCCTTTAGGCCCATGGTTGATCTGAAAATGTGCGAAAGAATAAAAATAACTCAAAAATATTCCACACAACACAATGACTAAGCCAACAAATCTGATAGAAGCCTATGTGAATATTGAAGTTAGCAAAATCTATTGATGACATAATGCGAATATTGAAAAAACAACGTATTTCAGTGACTCACCTAGAGACACCAAAAATTATGTGACCAAATTGTCTTTGATAACTATGGAGGGAATGTGAGCATCTTACGTTACTATTTCCCTCTCGCTTCCTCTGCAGACTAGCTTAAAATAACGAGTAGTCTGTGATACACTAAATTAATTTCGATAGTCCACAACATTAAGTTAGATTGAGCATCATCTTTAACAAACTCCTTCCCAACACAATTGATGTTAAAGATACTTGAACAGAGACTAGAGAAAATAATAACATATAAATCTACAGAAGAGAGAACGGGAACTTGTCAAATATAAACTGAGGGAGGGATGGCAAAACACACAATACTGACATAAAAGTAACTTAGACGAAATTTATACCTTAGATTCCACTGCTGCCATCTTGTTGCAAGCCAACAATCCCACTTGAAGCACCTGGCCAATCTGTAAACAGGAGAGAGATAAACAAATCGAAAATAAAAACTAAGCCACCAAATCTGGTTGACGAACTGGTGAACAACAAAACATCCAGTCTCAAAAATCAAAATGTAATTTAGAATCGAATAACTTTCTTAGGCATCTTTATCTTCCATACATGACAATCAAGGGTAGAAGGTTAATCACCTTAAAGAGCCTTTCTAAATGATCAAGATGAGGAAGAAATATCAAGTCAAGACAATTAGATAAACCCACAAAAAATGTGGAAATGCATAAATGGTATTCATTAGACTAACACATTAGAGATGAATTTAACTAGTGTTACAAAAGCTTGATAAAATCTTTACCCAAAAAGAGAAGCTTGACATAATATATACAGATTAAAATTAACTCATTATAATATATATACATTCACATAAACAAAAAAGAGTACCTGACATATTTGTAGTGAGTTGTTTCTCCTTTTCATCTCTGCGACTGTGCCTGATCAGTAAGACATTTATGCATTAATATTGTATGTAAATTTGGCTTTTCACAACAGCAAGATTGGGCAACAGCAGGAGTGACACATATTTGAATACTATGATTAAAAAAATGAGTTAGTGCTATAATATTGTATTTTGATGCTATTATTATTGAAATTGATATTAACTGATGATTACATAATAAGAAAGAAACAAAAAAGAAGCACTTTAGAGACTCACCTAGACATGAAACTTATGTGATCAATTCCTCATCGATAATTATGGCAGGAATGTGAGCAACCTTACGCCACTCCCTCCCCCGCTTCTTCCGCAAACTTGCTTCCAATAAAGGACAACGAGTCATACTTAGTACTGAAAGAGATGAAGGCAATCCTTTTTTTGGTAAAGTCTTAAGTTTGGGAGCATTAACAATCTCAAGATTTTGGAGAGAATTGATATGTTGAAGCCACTTCCCGTCAAAGCTTGTATCACTAAGACCACAGATGCATAGTGTCACAAGAGATGAAGGTAGAAATGGCCCCATCAGAGTGGTCACTGTATTATCATCGTTAATTCGCAACACTGAAAGACAAGTGAGATGCTCCCAAGTTGGCTTAGTATTCCACATAATCCCTCCAACAGAGCCAACTGTCAGTTCCTGCAAGCTGCTAGGTAAATCATCTATGACAAAAGACTGAAGATTTGGTAGATTATCAAATTCCATTTCTTGAAGGTTGGTTAGAGTGTGCATTGCTTCTGGTAATGAAGGAAGCTTCTCACACTTCCACACTGCGAAATAAACAAGGTTTGGAGTGGCCAATCCACCTGGGGGAAATGACTTCAATTCAGTACAATCCCATATTTTGATGCTTCTAAGAAATGAGAGACTCTTTAGTGACGCATCTTCTGCAATTAATATTGATTTCAGATTTTTACAACCCTCAATAAACAGACTCTTGAGAACAGGGAGAGCACCCAAGGTAAATGATGTCATTGAATTGCAGCTATAAGAAATTTTCAATTCCTCAAGCGATGTGTAATTGGACAAGTATTCATGAGGAAGGAACTCTAGATTTTCACAATTACTGATTATGAGAAATTTCAATGTTTTTGGTAGACCGTCTGTTGGAAAAAACATTGAAGATGGAATGCCGTCTATGGTCAGCTGTTTAAGTGAATTCAAAGGGAACATCAGTTGTCTGAATACATGATCAGATAATGGCATTGATTGCACCAGTAAAGGACATTCTCTTAACTCAAGTTCAGTTAAGGAAGGAAATTTGTCAGCTATGTTTCCTACTATCAGTTTCGGGCACTTACTAAGCGATAAAGTTTTTAGACTAGGAAACGTTGTTGTTGTACCTCCAATTAAGTCCCACTCCTCCCACTCTTGCATATTCTCAAAGTGTAGATTCTCCAAAGAGGGAAATGGTTGAAATGAAGAACCACCACTTCCATAGAACTCAATACCAATTGTCCCTACTGATTGCATCCCTTCAATAATGAGTTCTTTCAAATTACCTAATTGTCCAAGGGGCGGAAGCCATAAACAATCATCACAATTCGAGATTTTTAAATACACCATATTTCTATATAAAGAATCACCCAACCAATTTGGAAAGTTGATTCCACCATAGCCTTTGATGGTGAGACTTTTCAAATTTGTTGAGGGTTGCAAATGATCAAGTATAACACTTTTAATTTGGGAATCTGGAAAAGTACTACCATAGTCCCATTCCAAAATTAATTTGTCTATTTGTTCTTTCATCTTTATATTGGCTTGATCTACTTCAGAGAGGTCATTAACATTGTGTAGTTGTGAGATGGAAAGTTTTCCATGTAGGTGGGGAAGTTTTCCTAGATCTGCAATATTCAATCCACCATTATGTTTGCTGACAACAAAGTCGGACAAAGTGTAGAGATTTTCTAGTTTGGCTATTTGTACGGTCATCTCCGTCAATGCAGTGTCACTAACGTCAAGGTGTCGCAGATTAACCAATTTTCCTATGTCCTCTGGCAATTCAGTTAACCTTTTACAACCCACCAACAACAAGAACTGCAGATTGTAAAGCTTGCATGTCTCAGAAGGCAAACTTTCAATCTTAGTGTGTGAAAGATTTAAGTATTGCAAGTATAACAAATTTCCAATAGAGTTGGGAACCTCGGCAATACTCTTGTAGTTTGACAAAGACAAGGCACGTAATTGTTTCATTGTTGGCACCAAGTCATGTACTACCTTGTTTGATAGCAAACAAAGAGGCAATTGTTCCTGTAATGGTAATGCTAGAAAGGTGCGTAGACTTTTTAATCCATACAACTTTTCAAATTTATCATGTGAGTCATACATCCCTCTATTGTATGATAAGTTATGCACCATATCATGTAGGTTATGGTCATCCAAATTTATACAATATGGAGATGGAACCTCAGTAGCTAAATCATGAATGAGATCATGCATTTCAAAGGTTGCTTCCTCCTCACTAATAGATCGTCGGTGTATCAATGATCTTGACACTAGTACATCAAAATACTCTTCTCCAACTTTTTCCGGATCTGTAGACGAATCTACTAAGCCTTCTGCAATCCACAACTGAACGACCATATTTTTTTCTATGATGGACTTCTTTGGAAAAATTGAACAATATGCAAAGCATCGCTTTAAAGGAGTTGGAAGATAATTGTAGCTCAATTGTAGAAAAGGTTGCATGTCATGATCAGTCAATTCCCAAATGTTACTCTGTAGCACATAATTCCAATCATCCGGGGACAATTTGGTGCGAAGAAAATCCCCAAGCGCCACTGCAAGAAATGGTATACCGTAACATTTTTTTGCAATTTCTTTACCAATTTCTTCTAAATTGGACTGTTGTTGGTCTTTACATGCTCCAAACGCATTTCTAGCAAGTAAAAACCAGCAATCTTCACTTTTTAGAGGGCTCAAGTAATGAATTGAAAAAAAGGTTTCCATAGATGGTGAAATTCTTTCATCCCGTGTTGTGATGATGATCCTGCTTCCCATTTCCCCAACACTAAAGATGTCCATCAGATGCGTCCAATTGACAGACTCCGCATCCCACACATTATCCAATACAAGCAAAAATAAGTTATCGCGAAGAATCTTTTTGAACATCAGTAATATAAGATTCGCGTAAAGGTTGCCGGGGTCATTTCTTTTTGTATTAGCAAATTCAATAACTTCCCGATTCACCTCATCATTCCTGATTGTTTCTGAAGTGATAGAATTAAGAATGGCTTCCAAAACCTTGAAAACAACAAAATCTTTCGAAACAACCGCCCACCCTCTCAGTCCGAATTTCTCCTTAACTTGTGGATCATTGTAAAGGAGTTTAGCAAGGGTTGTTTTACCAATCCCTCCCATACCAACAATAGAAATCCCTCTTATTTTCCTATCACCACCACTAGCATCTTCTTCAGACAGCAAAAAACTTCTAAGTTTGCTTATATCATTATCTCTTCCATAAATATCAGACTCTTCAACCACATCAGAATTTTCCGGATTTTCAAGCCAAACACCGCCGGAATTTGAAACACCTAATTTACCTTTCTGTCCACTTCCTGAACTCAATAAATCCAATCTTTCAATTAATTTTAGCAATTTAGACTTAATCGCTTTATTAAAGCGTTTGAAAGGAGAATAAATAGCATTTTTGATAACCTGAGAAGGAGAA